TGAGAAGTGTGCACAACGCAAAATTGATTCGCAGTTCCGTTGACAGCTGTTGCGAATGATTGTACAAGGCGCAGTGGACGCTAATTGTCAGCTGATTGGTGAGACAGCAGTGTTGTTGCACTCTTGCATAAATCTCATAATGAAATTATGAGTAGCAAATTTCGCACGTTTACCTCGAAATTTATAAAGTAAAAAGTGTATATCCCAGATTTATTACCCGAAATTCGATTCTCAGTTGCCGCTAAAGTGCATTAAAATAGATTTATCGTATTTTTCGGCCAACAAAAACAGTTTAAGTATAGCAACATTGCTCCGACCTTTACCGCCTGCCCTACGCGAGGGAATAAATCTGTGAAATCCAGTTGAAAATTCAATGTTTTAGGTTTTATGAATTGTTCAAGTGTAAATTTTTTAATTAATTCTAATCATCAATTTATGTAAAATTAAAGTGAAAAAAATTAACTGAAAAACAAAAACTATTAAGAACTGTAATGAGAATAAGACGATTGGCCGCGCTAGCTTTATTGAATTTATTGAATAATTTGCTGCACGCCTGGCATTTGATAGCAGTCCTTGAACGTAATTTCAATTCTATTTTACGAAGCATACATTTTCCCACGATTTTCTCTAATACGATGGACGGCGAAGGGGGCGAACAACGTGATCCCATCGAGCAGGCTCAGGCTGAACCCATGGAGGAGGATATAGAAGATCAGGTAGTAATGGGTCTGGGCTATGAGGACGAGTCAGGGGATGAAGATGATGTTGACGAAGAAGAAGATGACAATGCATCGGATATGTCGAGCGATAGTGATTCGGATTATATAGTCGAAATGGATAGTGATGACGCTTTCGAAAGCGATAACGCGGCTGGCTACGGTGGCGATTATTCAACAAATTCAGAAAGTGACAGCGAAGTTGGCAACAAAACTTTTCGAAGCCATTGGAATCTTGATCCTAGATATAGTGTGCCTAACGTACCATTATATACTTTTAAGCCACAGCGTTTGCTCAAATGTAACTATAAGAAATTTTGTCCACCAAGAGATTATCCATTTGCACGTAGCGGCCATCGCGTTGTCGCTTCGGAATCACATCTTTACACATTGGGTGGCTACAATCCAAGAAATAGTCGAACGATAGCACGCGGGACAGGCATGCTCTTCCAGGAATTATGGCGCTACAATTTTGCGACTAAACGTTGGGTGCTACTGCACAATCCTACAACGAATCGAAATATGCCAAGAGAGTTGGCATCAAACGCGCTTATTATTAGCAATAATTTATTGATTGTAAGTACAACTTTGAGTATGTTATTATTATTAAATACAATTATCTTTTTGATTTAGTTTATTATTATTTGCTTGAAAATATTTTACGAATTAAGCATAGATAAAATTTATTGAAATACCAATATACGGATTAAAACAACAATGCTTTTATTATACTTGAAGTCATACGGTGGAACTGGCTACCCATTCGGTGAATCTTGCTCAAACGACTGCTATATATATCAAACACAAGGTGAAAAGCCGAGTGTTATGCGCATCGAGGCTACTGGGGATGCGCCCATTCCGCAATATGGACCGGGCATCGTGCTACATGAACATTATTTATATACAATCGGTGGTACAACCGGCTATGATTACTCCTGTGATGTACATCGTTTAAATTTGCGCACACGAGTGTGGGAGTGTGTTTATATTTGCCGCCCAGACATACGTGAAGATCCAGAAGGACGTTATCGTCACGAAGTTGTCTACGATGGTGAATACATTTACGTGCTGGGTGGTGGTACATCACATTTAGTGTACGATTTACAACGTATCCCTGCTTTTAATTTAAAAACCAATCGTTGGGAATATTTCGATACATTACCCGATCGAACGTTTTTAACAAATGCAGCAATCGCGCGGCAAAATTCTGGATTTCCAAAACCACGAAAGTGCTTTTCATGCGTACAGCATACCAAATCGAATGGTGAGGTCGAGGCATTTATTACGGGCGGAATGCTGGTGGGTGCTCATGTAGAAAATTAAATTAAAGTTGATAGCTAAATTTATATATACATATCGTCGTTTAAAGTTCAAACCCGTGTATCGTCATTATGCAAAACCACGTAACTGACATTTGCTGCCAAAAATTGGATTTGCTCACATAAGCTCTTGGCTCAATGTTTATCCATTCGTCCTGAAATATACTAGCCAGAAATGCGATTGTTTTATAAAAAATAGAACCATTTTTAAATATGACTGCTTTTACTCTAGAAAATAACTTATGCAACCACACATACGCGGTTTGGCCTTATCTTAATACGCGGTTTTGTACTTTAAACGACGATATGTACATACATACATACATAAAAATGTCCCTCTTTCACTTGCAGAGAGATCACGTATATTTTTCTGACATATGGAAACTTAACTTTTCTACTAAGCAATGGACACTAATTAGGACCGCATCTTTGCCAAAAGCATTGTACTTCCACGCCGCAGCGCACAATCAAAATGGTTGTATGTACATTTTCGGTGGCATTGAATATGATGAAAAACGTATACGGCGGTGCAATGACCTCTATAAAATGTGGATGACCGTACCGAAATTGAGCGAAATTTGCTGGGAGGCAGTTTTACACTACAGGCCAAATCTAAAATTCAATGGCCACTCACAGTTACTTAAGATGGGCATACCGCTACGCTTTGCACAGAGGTTATGGCATTCCTCGAAAACTAAATGATTACGCAATAATTGAAGGGAGTAATGCTATATTGTTTTTCTTAGCAATGTTATTGGGTGTTGTACCACTATTTGTTTATTAGGAAAAATGGAAAGAGTAACAGGGTCTTAGCGGTAGAATTTATAGCTGCACGTCTCATCAGACTTCTTTTCAGCATCTGTGATGTGCAAAATCGGCGACGCTAACCACTGCGCTACCATAAACGCTTGTAGCTAATCCATTTCCTTATTAACGTACTACTATCAATTGCAGCTGATACGCTGCTTCAGCTTGACAGGGTCGTGGTACAAAACCTAACAACATTGCTAAAAATTAAATATTATTACGTTATAATAATAACTATATTGTTATGTTTAATAAGAAGTGATTATTTGTTTGTTTCACTAGAGACGTACATATAAACAATTTATTCTTTACTGGCCATTGACGATTTAGTGTTTAAAAAGGCGTAAGAAACTTGAATACGAACGAAGTGCAAACAATTGAATTAGCATAATGAAACTAAACATCAAAAAAAAAATGAGTAGAAATGGAAACGCTAATTAATATAATAATAAGAGTAATTATTTTTTTACGCTCGTTGATGAGACAATGAAAATCAACTCAATGAATATGTGCAGCTGTAGTTAAAGCCCAATCATACAAGAAAAGGAAAACACAAAAGTGCGGTTTTTTCATTAGAGTGATTTTTTTAATGAAAATAGAGTACTACGTATGGATTAACCTCTAATGCCTTAAAATTTCGTGTTAATCTCTTTAACCACAGCGGCAATTATGAATAAATATGTATATGTACATACATATTTATGCTATATGTACATTCATATGTACATATGCACATTTTGTAATTTAATCGCTAGTAACTTCTATTTAAGCATTTGAATAAAGCTCTAATGCTGATAATTATCATTAATTATCATGTATCATTCAACCCAGTTATATTTCTAGAACAAAAAAAAATATTGTATTTTCATATATTATTGATACTCAAATGTCAAATGGATAACAGGATTACCTACAAATATACAAATTACTTCTTTCAAACTCAATATTAATTCAATTTAACTAATTTATGTATACTCGAATCGAGAAGCACATTGACGCTGACATAATTGCTTTCATTTGCCTCAGCCAAAGAATTTGGAGCAATAAATGTTTGCTAACATGATAGAATATGTACATAATAAATAACTTTTCACAACGATTTTCTATAAAAAGATACATGCGCCATTGCAATTTTAAACCAATAAACACCTCCAAAGAAAGGCCCTAACTCTTTATAGTCGCTGAAACGCAAAAAAGCCGCAATTGACAAAAATTTTGTGTTGCTTAAAATGATGTGGCTACTCCTAATTCTATGAAATGCATCATAAACAATCAAAAAGCGAATTTTGAATTTTTACTTAGTTACAGCTTTTTGTATTTCAGCGACAATATGTGTTAGGGCCTTTCTATATTAAGGTACAACATGTACCCGTGTTTGTGCTCATAATAACTAAATGCCATTGCTAATACATAGCTAGAGGGTTAGAATTGTACCGCACAGTAAAATTTATTTAACGTTAAATTTTTAATGTAAATAAGTAAATGCTATAATAAATAAAAAAAAGTACGTATTAACAAATGTTTTAAATCGTTTATGTTTTTGTCTGCCACAAAGTTCCGTATGTATGTACATATATGTATATGCATTTATATGTATGCATGAATGCATTTGCAACGCGGGAGATGACATGGTCGTAAAAATGAAAATTCGTAAAAACTTTCACTGGATTTTACTGGAAATGAGTAAACAAACGCAACTAATAACTAACGGAAAGCCATCGCAAAGTGCGTTCGAATATAAAGTACATACATCTATACAGTGAGATATAAAAGATACAAAAGATACGAGACATCCATTTAGTGCAAAAATCGAAAAATCGAGCTAAATTTATTAACATTTAACAGCATCCCCATTTACAAATACCCTGATTGTCTGAATATACATATGCATGTACATAAAAAACAGAGAACGTTTTTCCGCATTCGAGGCGAAAATCAAAAATCTGCCGCGGACAGAGTCAAAAGGGAGACGAACTCATCTCAACCTTTCAGATACGGGCAAAATCGTCACGGCACATTTTCAAAGTAACGAGTTGTTGCTTATACATTTACGTTCTTTGACAAAGATCACGTTCTTTGGCTCTCTAGCCCTTTTTTCTGGAGATTCTATTTTTATATGTATCTGGCAGCACTATGATTTCTTATTGGAAAAATAAGCATATGCAACCCTGTATTTAATTCACGGTGGATTGTATTGCTCCTATCGGATGATTTGTTTTTACTTGTTTTTTTATTCATGTTATAATCCGCATTAATTGCTAATAAATTTCCTCAAAAATGTTAAAACCAAAAGCACTAACACAAGTTTTAGCGCAAGCAAATACAGGTGGTGTTGAGAATACGCTGTAAGTAAAAGAATCTATTCTTATTCGATAGCCAATTTTGGAATGGAAAAGTGCACTCACCTTTGTTTTGTAAAGACATAAGATTTATTTATTTTATTATCATTGTACTGAAAACACGCATTTTATAGTTTGCTAAGTCAGGAGGGTGCTTTGCTAGCATATGCTGGGTATGGAGATAAGGACGCGCGTGTTACAGCGGCAATTGCGAGCAGTATTTGGGCAGCATACGAAAAACATGGACGCAATGCATTTCGTGAAGATCGTCTAACTTTTGTGCTATTGGATTGTGAATGTGGTCATGTAGCTATTACACAGGTGAGCGGCAGTCAATCGCCAAAGAAATATAATACGAGTCCCACAAAAAAACTGTACTCGACTAATTACCTGGCCTATAATCATCTCCCTAGTTATTTATTATTGCGAGCTAAAGCATTTGTACCTATACTTGCAGGTCGCCAGCATATTGCTTTGTCTGTACGCAAAAGAAATGGTGGGCTTGGGTTTACTCAAGGAAAAGGCGATGGCACTGGCTAATTATCTCGAAGGACCCCTCAAGCAAATTGCAGCTTCATAAGATATGCACTATATATGTAGGATGGCTCTTCAGAATTATAGTAATTTTTAATGTTTAAGTATAATAATAAACTTTATTCACATTAACCGTTTACATTTTAACTACAACTTAATAGGGTTGAAGCCCGTCTAAGTGGTCCGACGCATTCGATCGTAAGTACGCGAATGCCTGTTTGTCTTGTCCGTCTTCTAACGCGATGTCCCTTTCGTCAAATCATTAGACCAGTTCTATTCCTTTATTCGTTATGTAGGGCTGCATTTCTATGTTACTAACTCTTAATGTCCAATTAGTCTTAGCATCATAAGTACTGTCCGTAAACTAATCCCACATTCGGCCATCCTGCGTTTCATTCGGCCTCGAATGAAAAACACTACTCTTATTTTAATTTTAAATATTTTGAGAACTTCTCTATCTCTCAGCCCTTCTCACTCTTCTTCATCATTTGCTTAATGGCGTTTCTGATCCTTCATCTAGCTTTCCACAAAACCTTATAATTTTTCTTTAAAATCAGTTCTCCAAAAACTTCTTTATTTTCAATCGGTATTGGCTTCATCCTTGTAGGGAATTACTAATCTCTTTATACTCTTCACTTGTACTAGGTCTCAAACGGTCATACAAATTAATCGCTTCCCTGCATCTTGTCAGCTGCAGCCATAGCCTCCGCGCTCAAGAGAATCAGCTTCTATCTAGTGCCTCCACTATGCCTACCTCCAGACATAAACTTCAACTATGGCTTCCTAGTGGCAACAGAATGCACGCTCACACTCTCGTTGTCCACTTTTACCATAGTCCGCAACATCTCACCGTGCCTATGCAGCCTATTAGTTACACCGGACGCACGCTCACGTCCTCGATGTACACTACCGCTAACGCCTTCCGCACCTCGATGTGCTCACAGCTCACGGCCCTCCAGCCGCAACCTATTGTACATTCACTAATCTCTTTCCGCTGCTACACTGACTACACCACCTTAACCTGACCATGACAATCAACCTACTATGTTTCGAAACTTTGTTGGCGATTACCAAACCAGTACCGTTTCACCTCACCTCTCATAAAACGATTAAAATTTCTACGCGCCCATCATAACGTCTTAACTCCTTTTTTTACTATCTTTCACTTAAAAAAAAAATACTCTTTGAATAAAATATTTCTCAACTCACAGTCAACTAACTTGGCGAAATAATNAAAAAAAAAATACTCTTTGAATAAAATATTTCTCAACTCACAGTCAACTAACTTG